ACGGATGACATCGGACCTTCGGGTTCTGAGCTGGATCCGGGACGGTGTCCCCATCTCATGGCAGTCCGGACCACCAAGACCGTTCCATCACGGGAATTCTGTCATGCAAGGGGAACATCGGACGGCTTGGGAAGACCAGATTCTACCACGCTACATCCGAATTGGGGCTCTCAGACCAGCATCATGCCAGGATTACGTCAGCAGAGCCTTCCTAATACCGAAACGGGACGGGGGTTATCGCTTAGTGATCGACCTCCGACATCTCAACGCGCATTGTCGGGTGCCGACAACCCGTTTCGAGACGCTGGCGACACTCTCCGGCTGGATGGAACCGGAGAGTTGGATGATTGCTTGGGATTTCCGAGACGCCTACATGCATCTGAGACTACAATCGGACTTCATCAAATACGTGACAATTCAAGTGAATGGCGAGTATTGGGAGGTACCCACCCTTTCCTTCGGGTGGTGCGGGAGTCCGTTTTACTTCACAAAACTACTCCGGCCTTTAGTCACCTTCCTCAGGGCACCGCAGGACAGCATATCGTGTCCTCCCTTGAATTTCCCCTCCCTTCGTCAATTGTGGGAGGCGAACTACTTCATCAAAATCCTGCCCTATTTGGACGATTTCCTAGGGGCAGGAAGCGACAGGCAGAATTTGCGAGCCTGGGGTGTCCTAGTGAGGGCGCTCCTAAGCGACTTAGGATTGGAGATCAAAAACTCCAAATCCATCTGGGAACCAGTGACTTCGAAGGTTCACCTCGGCCTGGTTGTGGACTCATGGCGGGCCATGTTCCTTTGCCCGCCGGACTCCTTGAGAGTCCTCCAACAGTTGGCAAAGGACATCATCGTCAACAGCACCTTGAATGCACGATTGGTCACGGCCAGGAAGGTGGCCCAGTTCTGCGGCAAGGCGAACGCCTTGGCCCCGGCGATTGCCCCAGCCCAGTTTTTCCTGCGCGAGCTCTTCTCCAATCTACGGAACAAACAGAGCTGGAGCTCCCCAGTGCGCCTCAGTCGCGAGGCATTGGCGGATCTCCGTTGGTGGACGCAAGTTCCAGATAGGTGGCAGGGCAGAGCCTTTCTACGCCAACCAACGTCAGTATCGATGGCGACCGACGCCTCGGATTTTGGATGGGGCGCCGCCTTGGAGGATCCCCATTGCCTAACCTCGGCCCAGCCCCTGATAGCGCGAGGCTTCTGGACGGCGCAGGAGAGGATTTGGCATATCAACTACAAAGAGCTGGAAGCGATCCGTTTGGGGATCAAGTGTTTCTTGCGGAACTTGACCAACCGAACAGTGCATCTACAAATGGACAACCAGACAGTCTGCCGCATTTTGGAAAAATGGTGCTCGAGGGCACAACCTCTGCACCGCAAGCTGCGCAAACTGTGGTGGCTGCTGGACACACATCGCATTACGGTGCAGCCCCAATGGATTTCAACAACAGAGAACGCGATTGCAGACGCGCTCAGCCGGGAGACGGACAAGGAGGACTGGCGCCTATGCCCCACGTGGTTTTGGCGCCTCGATCTGCGCTGGGGCCCACACACTATCGACCGCTTCGCCAGCTGCCTCAACTGCCAACTCGAACGGTTCAACTCAAGGTGGGGCGACGTAGGGTCAGAGGGCGTGGATGCATTCGCCCAGCACAACTGGCCCGAGGAGAACAATTGGTGCAATCCCCCCTGGTCTCTGCTACCTCGCGTGGTTCAGCTCCTTCACGATCTTCCGCACGTCCAAGCCACCGTTCTCGCCCCGCATTGGCCGGGCGCGGTTTGGTACCGACCATTGAAGGCGCTTTCCAACGATTTTTGGATTCTGCCTCGATCTCCGGCCCTCTTTCTACCGGGCCGGGAGGCGCAGGTGCCTCAGGGAGCAGCGCGGTGGCACGTCGAGGCTTTTCGAATAGACAAGGCGCTGGCGACCCACCCCTCACGCCATTGATCCAGCCAGGCACACCGCTGCCGCTCGCCGCCTCTGGCCTCCTCGATCAAGACGATGAGCAGAGCATAGTCGAGGCCCTCCTTTCCTCGAATGCTCCGTCAGGCCGCCGCTCCATATGGTCTAAGTTCGGCAAATACTGGCGCTTCTGCTCGGAGGCCAAACGCAGGTGGAGCCCTATACCGACTGAACAGCCGATGGTCTGGGCTTACGTACAATCTCTGCGGGATAGCACCCGCATCCAAGTACAGAGCGTGCCCCAGTACATCAGCGCAATTGCCACGGTGCACCGGTGGCTGGCGTTCCCCGACCTGCGCCCCCATGACTCGGTCGTGGAGCAACTTCTCAAGTCGTGGCATCTCAAGGTCAGCCCCCTTATCTCCAAGAAGCAGGCTGTGCCACTCCCCACTTCGATCGTCCTCCAGCTGGCCGAGGAGGGGTGCCGCAGGCATGCTCCACAGGAGATCCGCGCGGCCTTGGTGGTGGTTTTCGACACAGCCTTTTTGTCCCGGGCTGATTCTTCCTTCGCGACGGAGGTAGGCGATGTATCCGTGTTTGAGGGACCTTCTCCGGCGATCTTGTTTACAGAACGCAGATACAAGGGCAAGCAGGTCGCCAATCTATCGTTCCGGTGCCGCAGTTTTCAAACGGCAGGCATCTCTGCCTTCCCTTCCTTGTTCAGACGGTGGGTGGTTACCCGCCATGCGGCGTGGCTTCAAGCCAACAGGCCAGAGTCTTCCCTTCGTTGGCAGCTGCTGGACGAGCCGGCCCCTATGGCCAGGTTTCTTGGGACTTGTTTTGACGTGGCGAGCCGGATCCATTTCCGTGACCTTTTCGGTGATGGTGTTCGTTACACCCACCACGATGTTCGTCGCGGGGGGGCCACCGCCGCCTTTGCGGTTGGCGCATCCCTCCAGCGGGTTTGCTACTGGGGTGGATGGTCTGTTTCTTCCGACAGTGTGACCAAGTACATTGACTTCACACACGTCGCCACCCCCTCCGATTTCCAAATGTTTGGCTGGCTACGAGGGACGGGGGAGTAGCTGGCCCAGCAGTTCAGCCATCTCTTTCAAGCTGCAGCTCCCTCAACCAGCATTGCTTCCCCTGGCCCTCCTCCGCCTTCTTCACCCAGCTCCTATTTCGATTCGGGTGACGATCTGTAGCCCGTCTAGGCTCAATCTACCTTGGCTGCCCTGCTTCCCCTCCACTGTCTGGTCAAGCTCCTCTCGCCTTCGGAGGCTCATCCTGAAGCCTGTCTACGCTTGGGGTAGGGGCTCTGGGCCCCTCATTGTTGAAAAGATGGAGGCAATTCAGATGGGAGAGGCTCAGCTGGACCAAGTTTGATGGATTGCATGCAGATGTTAGCAGGGATTGAACACTTTGTTTGTATGTCTGATGTTTGTAGACAATTTCATTTTTGGCACAGACCTTTGGTCTTTTGTGCCTGGGTGGGAGAGGACCGCAGTGTACATTTAAGTGGCCTTTACGATCAGTAAAGAGAGTTTAAATTGAACGGATAGGCCAGGGCGGGACGATTTGTGAAGGACACTAACGCGGTCTGGTTTTGGCATTTTCATCAGTCAATGGACACCTTCTCACTCTCACCACAGCCGAGGTCGCACTCTTGTTGTAAGCCTATGCACCTCGCTGTGTCGCCACTATTTTCGCACCCACCCGCCCCCCGCGTGGTTGGTGGTTTCACCTTTGGATATTGGTTTTTCTGTGGGATCTGCTTCGACGTGACCTACAAGTAGGGCCTGAAGGCAATTCAGATGGGAGAGGCTCAGCTGGACCAAGTTTGATGGATTGCATGCAGATGTTAGCAGGGATTGAACACTTTGTTTGTATGTCTGATGTTTGTAGACAATTTCATTTCTGGCACAGACCTTTGGTCTTTTGTGCCTGGGTGGGAGAGGACTGCAGTGTACATTTAAACACCAAATTGGGGTCAGATTGAAGAGGCGAATGCCTGGCACCAAGCAAGCCATAGTTATTGGCCGGTCATATGCTTGCTGACATACGATTCACTCCTCGACTTGATGGAGATGGTGGGAGGACAATTTGCCAACGATCAGTTCCACTTTTGCTAGAAGCACCAGTTTTGCTGTTGTGAGTTGGTGCTATCAATTGGTGATTTGGGTCGGTGCTGTGGGTCGATGCTATGGCCGGTGTTGTGGGATAGGCGACGTGCTGTGCATCAGAGAAGTGTGATTTGAGTCCGCCGTTTGGAGCGTGAACTCTGATACCGGAAAAAGAGCCATACTCTGATATATGAAAAGAGCCCCAAGTCTCATTCTTGCCTTCTCTTAGTTTGGTCGTAAGGCAAGTTGAGTTGAGTCTTGGCTGCCTGTTAGGCCAAGCACGGCAAGTGCGCTTGAGCACCGCATGTACCAAGGTGACCACGGAGGACGAACCAAAGCGTTTGACCTGTGCTTCGAATGCGTGATCAACGGCGTCTGTCCGTGCCGTTGCTGCAACCCATCGCTGTGCCCATCCGACTGCGATGGTAGCACCTCGAGCTGGGACGGCCAAAGAACACTGGCAGCTTAGGGCATGCATGTGCAGGGTCTCCGTCTCCGCACCAGTGGTCTGTATCGGAGCACCCTCTTGGGCCGTCACACTAAGCCTCGGCGGTGTCACGTGGAAAAAATCTCCAACTTTGAGTGCAACGCCCCCCTTTTCGGATCGTTTTCCTCCCTGGAAAGCGCACGCCCAGCCCAGCCCCTCAAAGAGTCTAGCAGTCACTTGCTTAGGAGGGGGTGCCCTTTGTGTGACCCGTTTCTTTCTCTCTGCAACAAATCCCGCCCCGGCACCTCACGTCAGTTCTAATCTTACCAATCTTCCCAAATGCCCCGCCCCCACCAAATCAAAGGGCCACATCTTCTCGATGAGCCCGGTCCCGGGCCGCCGGCCCGGGTCCAGTCCCCCAAGGTCAGGGCGCCCAGCCCCGCGGGTCCTCCTGCCGCGACACGCCAACCCCACCCCCATCCCCACCCCTCCTCCCCTCAGGCATAGGCCGCGCAGCCCGTAAAAAGGGGCCAGGCAAAGGCAAGGCGTCATGGCGCAGGAGCCCGAGAAGGTCGCCGCGGAGCAGGGCGCAAATGCTGCCGGAGAGAGCGGGGACAAGAAGGACGAGCACGCCGCGCGCATCCAGGTCTCCCTGGGCAAGAAGCCGCTGTTCTTTTACGTGAATTTGGCCAAGAAGCTGATGCAGCAGCACGGGGAGGTGCAGCTGTCGGCGCTGGGGTTCGCGATGTCGAACATGGTGTCGGTGGCGGAGATTCTGAAGAAGGAGAAGCTGGCCGTGGAGAAGCGGCTGACCACGAGCATCGACACGCTGAGCGACCAGGGCCGCCCACGCCCCGTGCGCAAGCCCAAGATGGAGATCGTGCTGGTGAAGAGCGACACCTTCGACGAGATCATGGCCGCGGAGAAGGCCGCCGCGGACAAGGCGGCAGCCGAGGAGGCCGCCAAGGAGGGGGCGGACAAGAAGGCCGCCGATGGGGCCGCCAAGGCCGAGAGCTGAGCGCGGGGCAGGCAGCAGGCCGGCCGCCCGGCTGCGTTGCTCCGTGCGTCAGATGTGTCGAGGGCGCGGGCGCGGCGCGGCGAGAGTGGCCGGGAGAGCGGGCACAGCTGCAACGGGGTCGGTGTGCCAAAGCCGGATGGCCATGCAGCGAGGCGTATTACTTGGGTGACAGTCTCCCCCTTTTTCCGGACGCGGCTCTCCTTGCTTGGGGTTGTGCGTTCCAGTTGTACAGTCTTTTAAACATGGTCGGAGATTTCCTGGTGACTCCTTCCGGCATTCCTGTCTCGGCGCCGAGATGCCGAACGGGCACCCCCCCCAGGGCTTTCTCCCTGTGGCCGTGGCTGCTGAGGAGCGAACGGAGCGCGCAGCGACTGGTGCCTGGCCGCATCCCCGACGCGCCAGGGGCCATCCGCGGCGGCCTGATCGGCACCAAAGCGTCCGGTGTGCGCAAAATCCAACCAAGGGAACCCAGTTGCGGGGTGTCCCGAACAACAGGGACCGCCCGCCGCCCGGGCGGAAGGCGGCGTGGAGCTGCCAGTGGCCGCCTGGCCCCGTCGCCCCCTCCCTCACTGTCACAGGCCAGTCGCCTCCAGAAACCCACGGGGGCGCCAGGACCTGCGGGCATGACACCTCCTTGGACGCCCCGCGCCCAAAATTTGGTGTGCGTCGTCAGCGGGGCAAAATGGGGAGGGGGGCAGGGAGAGTTGCGGGAACACGGGTAGGATTTGTTAGAGACGAGGAGCAGGTCGTACAAAGGGCAGCCACTCCTAAGCAAGCCCATGCGAGACTCTTTTCCATGCTGCGAGAAAAGATGAGCACAACACACAAGCAACTCAAAAGGCGGTGCCGGGGTTGGGCAGTCGCCGGGGACGACCGACGGTCCCCCAAAAGGCGTGTCGCACATTGGGAGTGGTTGCGAGTAAAGAAACTGGGGGAGGGGGGGCACAGCCCAGGGCGGTTGGCTCGTGCGTGTGCGGCTCGGTGGCATTGTGGAATGACTCCGTGCGTTCTTATAAACAGGGCGTCGAACTGGTCGCGCCGCATGACAATGCGGAATCTTGCATCCCTTGGGTGCAGTCTATTTGGGAAGAGGGTACACCGAGGCTGGCCCATGCCAGAAAGCGTTTTTGTGGTGCCTCTCAAAACGTGTCATTCTTGGCCTGAAACACAGTAGAAGCTTGCAAAGGATAGTACAGGTAGGGCCTCCATAGGGACTCCACCGCTCTGTCACTTGGAAAATATGCTCCACGAGTGGAAGTGTGTTTTGCATGCTGTGGACAACCACCGCCTGGCGCAGCACCGGAAATCCAAGCAATGGAGAACAGGGCGGACGCCCACAGCCTTAGCATTCTCATACCCGCAATGTCTGCAGTACATGGGGTTGATCACACACCGGCACTGCGGGTCACTCATTTGCCGATGGCGTTGCTGCAACAACCATTCACTGCCCCAAGCAGGGCACATTCAAAACTCCCCTTCTTGAATACTGTAGAATCTTTGCCCACCACCCTGTCCAATGCCCTGCATCCAAGCATCATATGGGCGGCTCTGTGATGGACACAATGCGTGCCAGGTAGTTCACACTCAGCACGGGTAGTGTTGTATAAACGGACGGTCATTAGGGGTTAACGGGTTAGATGGGCGTACGGTTTGAGAATCGGAACTGTATCGGAATGGGGAAAGAAAGGTTGTCTGCTTGTCGTATTTTGGGGTGTATCGTAGATATCGGTACGGTACGGTGGATACGGTGACGATGCAGTATCGATACGGTGAGGTGTCCGGCCACGGATGTAACCCAGCTTGCACTGCACGGGTGTGCCCCAAGCCAGCCAACGTCAGCTGTGCTGTGTCGAGTGCCGAGTGTCCGAACCCGAGGCGGAGTGCGCGCGCGATCCCGCGTGCAACGATTCGGGGATCTGCGACCCGGGGCGAGCTGTTGGCCCACCAAGGGCGCGAGAGGCGCCTGACCACCACGCTTCCATCCTGCGCTAACAGGTAGGGCAACCCTCACAACCCTTAGGCTCATTGGGGACACACCACCCTGGATTGGACAACAGTCTCCAGTAACTACTTTCTCTTCAGAGGTATCAGAGGCAGCATAAGTGGCCATTTCCAGATTGAGTTAAGAATGGCTGGACTTCATGTCCGCATTCCCAACTGCACGCTTGCTGTTGTGGTTTTGGGATTGATGCAGATGCAACAATAGCCTGCACCATTGCCCAGCAGGCAATACGGCAGCGATTTGTCATTCTCTGAAGACCGAATTCACATAGCATTTGAGCATCTTCAAGTGTAGGTGGTGAATGCAGTCAAGATGCTAGTAAGACGCTCTTGCTATAGTCCAGGGATTTCACATGACGTGAGGTCCATTCGCAGCAGTTCGGAGGCAGCTGCTGAAGCACGCCCCACACTGACTGAGGCACAACTGCGGTGGGAAACGATGAGCACCACACAAGATCTTGGCGTCTCGCCCAAGCATGGATGCAGCAACTTGAACAGGTGATAGAGCCTTTCGCTGTGGGCGCTTGAGGCTGGCCAGGATATGCTGTCAACATGTTACTATGCAGTACCCGTTCAGTGCTTGTCTGGCCACACAACGATATCTTGCGTTGATGGGGAATTGGGTGATGCATAACGAATCCCTCGGGAGCGCAGTTTGTTCCTCCTTGACTGCTTTCCACCACTGCATGGTAAAGTCGACACTTTGCACCAGTGGCTGAAGCCAGCAGCAATGGGCGATCCAGAGGCAAAATTCATTTCCTATTTGTACATGGCAGTAGTTTCAAAGAAAGGTTCTCGTGGGCCCAGAAGGGAGCGACATTTGCCATGAATTCGAAATGGCAATGTGTCCCGTGGAATAAGGCATCAAAGTCAAGATACATTGACTCTCCTGGCTACTCCATCATGGTTGATACTACATTGCCAATCAAATCAAAAAATTGCATTACGTCGTACCCTTCCTACTCCTACCACTCACGCCGCTCGCGCTCCCACGTGTACACACACTTCCTCAACATTCTCCCAACCTGGAGGGCCCCCCTTCAGTCTCCGCCACAATGCATGCATCGGTTCGGGTAATCAGTTCGTGCTGCCGCCTTGATAAGCCCACAAAACAATGAGTACAAAAAAGGGCATCCACGTATAAAATCTGTTAGAGACTACTCCACTCTTCGTAAACAGCGCTTCCGGAAGGTTCTGCCGCTTCCTCTGATGGGTTGAAGTACCGAGCTCTTGGAGGGCACAGCTCACCATTCTGCTCCTTCACAAGTGCGTCCAGAGCACCGCCGGTGGAAACGAACTTGCTCCAATCGTCGTCCGCCTGAAAGGCAACCACAGAGCTCATCAGCGATTCCACTGAATTGTCACTATCACTCAATCTTGATCTGCATGCACGGTGCATTCCCAGCTTATCCTGCCCTGCATGGGGCATAACAGCATGTCATCCTAATGCAACTGTTTCGTGCCAGATTTGTTGCAATGCACGCATGCCACGCTGCACCTCGTCACAGAAGGGAACCCATGAACTCCACAATCTCAGACTCAACATTCCACTGCAGGCAACAAATCTGCCAATTCTTCAGGTTTCCGACCTGTGGGCAGTTCGATTGAGGCCACTGCACTGTGAATTGTACGGGGCAACATGGCGGTCTCACTTTGCTCTACCCTGCAGCACCCTTGCGCAAGGAAAGTTTCCTTAGGAAACGCCATGGCCTTGAACAAATGCGTGCCTCAGAAGACACATATGCCCCCACGGGGAAATCTGTAAGAACAGACAGCAGATGCCCCCCCTTCTGTACACCAACAGCACCCAATCGCCTCTCCTTCCAGCGAAAAGCACATTCCAGTGCCGCATAGGCATAGTACTGGCACACCACTGCCTGGCTAGTTATTCACAAACGCAATCAGAAAATCGACACCGGTACCAGGTGACCAATCTTCAAGCACCAGTCTCAGCCAAGTTCCAGAACATGCTCTGTAAATCGTCTACATGAAAGCCAGCTAAGGTGCACCAGAATTGATGCTAAGCCTGCCCCACAGACAGACTGCAACCATCGCCAGCCTCTGTAAAGATTTCCAAAACCAATGGGCTACAGCAGCACCACCACAATGCAAGTGTAGCGCACAGGTGCCAGGCCAGTGGCACTCCTTAACATCCTTTAGCAACAATCAATCATATTACCCAATGGCTGTAACACGTACAAACCACAACCCACATGGTCCAACTTTCACGTTCACCACGTCGACAAACAGGGCACCTCCCCATGCTGAGCTCAGAATTGCGGACATGTAGCAGACATGTAACATTCCAAATAGATAGGCCCCTCAACATACACACTTGCTTTGCCAAGCTGTTGCCTGTCCACAACCTGTTGCCTAATCCCAAATGGCTGATGGTGACAGTGCTGCACCCCAGAATGCATAAGTGGCCATTGCAAAGGGTGGCCATAGATGTCTTTAGTTATTATTCAGAACTTGCTGTTGGTCCCATTCGTGAGACAAGACGAGGTTGCAGACATTACAGGATATTTCCTCATATGGGGTGGAGACTATACATACGTACACATCTATACACATATCCTGTATTTGCTCATATTCCACTGTTGATTCTTGTTGCAATCTGCATTGATTGCATTTCCATTGTGCTCTCAGATTTCTGAACCAACTTCTACTTCTTGACACAAGAGCTTCACAAGCTTCCCACCCAGGAGGTTCAGCCCAGTGATGCATGACCCGTTTCTGCTTGCACCCACGCAAATCGTCACTCATGCAGTCGTGTCATCACAACAATGAATCAAGCCCACCTCAAGTACATCCCGCAGAACAGACCAAGTTGACAAAGCGCCACTGGTGCCTGTGGACTGTGCTTCTGATCCTGTGCCATTCTGCACAAGGGTCTTGGCCAAGGCTGCGATGCTGCCCACATGACACTTTCTCTTCCCGATAGGCATGCCACTCCCTTCCACACCTGCATGGAACACCACTGCATAAGTTGCATCATGGCTATTCAGGCCATAACAGCTTTTGTTGTGGTGGATAGGCCTTGGAATCCTTTCATTAAGTCCTTCAGTTTCACATGCCTTGACATGGGGACCCCCGAATGCATGTTGCATTCCTACTCATGCTTCACCGTGCTGTGGATGGGCTCGTTCGAGACTGCATAATCATTTTCTAAAGCACTGCAACAGCTTTGCTTAAATGCTGTTCAGTGTGGCAAGTATGTGGCATGCCTTCCTGTTTGCTGGAAAGACAATATCTGGGATTGCATCTTTAAACTGCATACCTTGAGATCCTCACCAGGATGCCCAAGTCTAACCCACAACAAACCTGTATATGATACAAGAGCGAATTATCTCCCTCTCCTGAAATTGTAAAATGACTGCGATGGTCTACTTGGCTAAACCATGATCATTTGGTTCGACCAGTGAGCACAGTCCACTGACTTGGTCTGGCGCCCTGCCACATGTGCCCAGCCTACTGTCCTTCATGGACAGGTTTGAAAGCCTATCAAGGTGATAAAGTTCCCACGGTGGGATGTGCTACTTGTTGTTGCAATATTCTGCATTTTTCGTTGTTGACCTCCAAGATTCCTGTACTTTGCCTCCCTTGGATGAATGCTCTGTGCCAGTCAAGCACAACATATGGCAAACTCCTGCTGCATAATGCCCTCGTTGAAATCTGCCTTCAGAATACAAAGTGGAGCAGCTGCAACTTGCAAGTGATGACCGGCAAATCCTGCTGCAAATCAAGTATTAACAAGGCATGTCAACTGTGTGGATTAACTAAGCAACCTTCGTATCAGCACAACTGTGTCAAATTTGTCACACCCTGCCAGATCATGAAGAGACACAGTAACCAAAGATTCACAGTCGCAAAACCTTACCAATTTCAGTTATGTACTTTTGCAGCGGCTTCTCCATAACCCTCACTTCGCCTCCCTTTCCCGCAAGCATTTCGCCATCAAAAACAGTTTTAAACAAGGACTCCGACCTGAAGTGCAGGAGCAGGAGCTTGATCAGGGATTAGGGTACAGGGAGTGCAACCAGGAGAATCTGCATGTCCATTTCACAGCCAAAAATCGATGCACACCTTTTCTGAGTTCCATAACCCTGCTGCTGCTCCAGAAACGGTGCCATCAATCCAACCAACTGCCAAATGTCACATCGCAAGTTCTGAGGCAAGATAGAAACCACATACAGCCCCAGCTGCATGCAGCCCAGCCTTGTAACTTGCAGCCTTGTAACAGATCTAAACATCAGCTGCAATCAGTGAACCCTCTTGATGCCTGCACTGCCCAACATCTCGATTCCTCTGTGCACGTTCATTCTTTTGCCTGTTTGCTACACAGAGAATCTTGCCTTGCCAGAGATGGGAGCAGCGCACAGTGTGCTGGAGCCCGCCAACACTGCACCATGGCAGGGCCGGAAGAGGCAGTGCAAATAGGCAGCGCACATCAGCGCCTCCGAGAGCTGCTGCCAACTGGAAGTCGCGACATCCCACCTGTTCTCTATTATGGTCTGCACTACTCGTGCAGCTGTGCACTGCAGGGCGTTGCAGTGGGGAGAGCGTACAGCCAGGCCCACTATCCTGCTGGTCAAGCCCGATGCGGCGATCTTTTCACTAATGATGTCACTGTGGGTGGAGAGCAGAAGTGCCACGATCTCCGCTGCCGCCAAACGATGAAGGCCAACAGCTGGCTGGCACAAACAGAACGTACTGTGAGATAAAACTGTGGGCAAATCGCCCTGCTCCAATTCCCCCAATGCTATGAAACTTGGCCACAAATACTTTGGAACCTCAGGATTTCAAGATATATTATGATGGTAAACTTTGGTGTGGTGGCCAAACGGGCAAAATACAGAGTGTTCAGCAGCCACAATGTTACAAATTCACAAGCCTCTACTGCACGGCCCAGAACTGAACCGTTTAAATAGGCACAGAACTGCTAGCAAACAAGCTGATGTGCTATCCACTATGAGGGCCTCCACCAGCTGCCAAGGAGACTCACCACACATATGCATCTACATAACAGAGTTCAGTGCCTGCATGCTTCCAAGTAACAGCAAGATTTCCAGGCAATCCTTGCTGGCTTTCACACAATATGCTGTATCTGCTTCCATGATGTTCCTGAATATCCCAGAAGCAAAGATGCAGCACACGGTGGTACCACTGGCGCAACTGAAGTCTTCAACAGTGGAATAGCATACAAACATGTGCAATGGCCTATGTGTGGGATTCTTCATGTTCCCTACAAAGATAAAACAATTTCTCTCTCTTCCTTGTGCTTCTGGTGCACAGAGCTGTTTCCATTTATTAAGAATCCCAAATGTGGACACATTGGAGGTTGACCAGCAGTGGGCGCAGACATCGTGATGCTTGGTACTGAGCTTTAATGTTTTCTGCCTAACAGCAACAGCAACAACAGCACCCAAATCCACAACCTTTGCATTTCCATAAAAAAGTTTCTCAACACCGACACTGCTGTTCTTTTCATGTAACCAGACTTGAAATTGGCCAGGCATGACTCTAACCATCTGGAGATATCACGGACCACCCCACAACACTTGTTTTCCACGGCATGACACTGATTTGTAACAGTATTGTGATTTTATCCCTAGCACAACGGCATCTGATTCAAAATGCGCCTAAACCCTAAACCCTAAAACCTATCTTGTAACCACCACGAGGTAATGTCACACGTCGCACAAAGTCCAGAAAACTACGCACAGTGTCCAGACTATTGGGTGTCAACCCAACCAAATATCTCAGCTGATCTGTAGTTTGCCTGGTGAAGCGAATCAACAAGGAAGAGCTGTTCCAACTCTGTACCAGCCCGCCATCGCCTTCAAAGGTGCAAGGGCCCTGTTTTGTCTACCAAACACAAATGCAATCAAAGCGAATTACATGTTGAACATGCCAGCCAACTGGGCAACAGATGCTGCATACACAGTTCCCACAAAGGCTCCTTGACCATTCCTTTGTAAGGATGGGTGGGGTGCCCATGGTTTGGTGAGTATCCCAGCTCCCAAAAAAATCCTCAACACCAGATCCACAACTGCCGAAACTGACCTGTGGGCTGCCACCATTTTGAAATGTGGCAGGTGGAGGTTCGACATCAAATATGGCAGACAACGTGTCCAAATGTCCAGATGCGCAAGCCAAGTGTGGCCTTGACGAGTCCACAGCCCCCTGGCCAATGGGTGCCAGAAATGTCTCCACTTCTGCCTCAAGGGGTCGTCCGGCTTCTGTAAGCACTGAGGACAGTGCCTGTGGTGTCTGCCCAGGAACTTTGACAGAATCTGCAATCTACCACGAAGGAAAAGGCAGAAAAGTTGCGTCATCGACAGGCACAACTGAAAGCAATTCTCTGAATCTCATTCAGTCACAAATGGAAGGAGTCAATCGCGACAATGGGGCTCAATCAGATATTGCAGGTCCAGGCTCTGGCCCAGGCTCAGGACGGTTTTTCATGTTCTTGACAACTTTCACCCATGCAGTCTGCCAGAAATGAGGCATCCGCACTGCAGTCACAAGCATTCAGGTCAAGGACCCTGCCATGGCCACAGCTGATGGTCAATGGCATGTTGTCACTGCAATCCAGCAGCCGAAGGCACACCCTAGACCATAGGAGCTAGATTACAGTCCACATTATTTGTACAACAAGCAGTACAGTGGAAGCCCAGCACAGCACAGCAGCAGTTTTCAACAGCATGACACCAGACCACCAGTTTCCTCCCAGTAAGACTTCCATCGTTAAGCATCCCCCAACAGTCCAGGCAGCCCAACCCAGACCACAGGCAGGCAACCATTTCCCCAAACACTGGTGGTCATTCCCCAAATGCATGCGAACATTTGCCTTCCCAGCTCCAACGATTTGCCATACCTTAGTGCATGCCCCCAATGCAGGTTCACACTACCGTACCTTCTGCCACAGCTCTGCTGCTAGTTCAGCCTCGGCAGTGTGGTCAACCATGGCGTCCACATCGTCGCGTATGTAGTTCCAGTCATGCGGGTCCCTGCGGAAGTATCTCCGGTACCTCCTCCAGGAGGTCTGGTTCCACGACCCTTCAGTGCTGCTCTCCTCCTGCTCCACCTTCTGCCAGCCAGCCGTCAGCTGCTGGTTATTACCAGTCCCTGAAACCATCTGCTGCCTGAGCTCCCCGTTGGTGAAGACGATGATTTGCCTGGTCATAGAGAGAAAATCCATTTCACAAAACTAATCACAGTGACAATTGGCCGCGAAATTCAATACAATATGAATTTACAAAACAAACGCTGCGCATGTTTTGCCCAATTTAGTGGAAGCTTGGATTTCTGTTCCCAGGTTGGGTTCACTGGGGGGGGCACCTGACTGCATGAGAGCAAACACTGTGTATGGCAACAATCTATGCCTATCAACGCCAACGTTAGTGCAAGAGCTTTGGACTGCTGCAGGCCAAAACGAAAACATCCCGGGAACGAGAGGCCAGGTTCAACTCCCACCTGCCGAGAGAGCCACTGAGCTGCAGACCGCCCGAATTGGTAAAATGCCACCCAGCTGTCCTCTCCTTGGACGGGACCTGCCACCCCTCATCTGTCTTCTCTACTTTCACACCGCCATCGTCCTCTCCCCAGGCGTCCGGCAGCTTTGGCTGATGGTTCACTGATGGCTCCTGCTTGTCATGTTCCTTTTCTGGCACAGGGGCCACCACCTCGGCCTCCTTTGCTGGCATTGGTCCCAGCTCGACTGCCAGATTCCTCTGGGAAGAGCACACCCCTTCCTGCAATGAAGACAGAGCACCTCACCTGCCATGCATCAATTCACACCTGGCACAAGGTGGTGAAGCAACTCCTTTGATGGGGATGGGCACACCTAAACTAAGTTGCAGAGTGTGTTCTGGAACATCGAGTCTACAGCATCCGCTCTTGCCATAGCCTCATGGTCACAGTGTCTGGCAACATAATTACCCTTCAATCACAGACGCACAGCCCAACAGATTCTTCTTTCTCATTCAAATGCCACTGTGCCCTGGTGAAATGATCCAAGCATAGCATCTTGACACCAATCCACAAGAAGTAGCTTGGACAATGTCCAAGTTCCTTGCAATTGCTTTACACAGGGGCCATGGTACTTGTCCGTCTCCTTCGTTCTACTATGGGCAGCAGGCATCCACGTTCCAGTAGCACACCCAATGTCGTGACAAATGGTACCTGACACTGATCCGCTGTTGTCTGCCAAGTTGCCAGACAGCATCAGCATATGGCAGTGGGGACCGGCAACAACAGAACTCGTTGGGGCCTGACAACAATGTTTGCGCAGGGTGTCTGACATCACAAACTTAGGCAAAGGGCAGTGACTCGACTGACTTTTACATAAGAAATCAATGTTCTGTGCGAGGGTGTAGCATGAGGATGGCAGGCCCATTTCACATATTCTAAAGAGATGTGCTTGTCAATATTGGCTGCCACAACTTCGCCCTACTGAGCAAATGCTAACTGACTGAAGGCAACCATAAAGCAGCATGGGACATTTGAACTGACATGTTTTCTACTGAATCAAAAATATCCCACCACGATCACCAAGGCAGCCCTATTCCCAATTGTATGCGTCTGTGCTTTTGAGTGGGACATGGACAAACATTCCTCAGTGGAAACTGCTGCCAGTCCCAACACTGCACCAGGTGCACAGGGAATGATTGTTGTGCACCGTCAAATTCATGTTATGGAATGTGCCAGCGGCATGCTACATCAATCCTTTTTGAGTACTTTCCACCTCACTTGGATCGCGGTGCACCACCCATTGCAGTCTTCCACAAGTGTTTGTGTGTGGAATATCAGTGTTAGAATTGAGCAGCAACAGCCCGTGTCAAAGCGCGCTCTTGTGCAGCTATTGGGGTCATCATGGGCCTTCTAGAATGCGCAAGAAGTCGTGTCTGGAGAATGAACTCACATAACCGATGGCTGCTGTTTGTATCTGGGGTGATGGTATGTGGGGTAAGATATTGTGTTGAAAATAGCCCAATCCCCAAAGTTCATTTACCACCTTGGCTTCTCAACAAAATACACTCTCAACAGCTTACAAGCATGTGATGGTCACCACATGGAACAGCAGTACCGTATCCACTTTTCAGCAAGCATGGCAATGGCAGTGTGCCTTCCTCTAGCACTTTTCTGTGAGGTGGGCACAAGGCCAAACCCATTTACTTTCTACAATGGTGCCACTTGGGCTCCAAATGGGATGTATATTGGATTGCAAACAACAACGCAACAGTCAAAGCTGGATTTTTGTGAGGTACAAAGAGTAGCCAGCAGCAACAGGCCCTCAAGAGCACACCTACTCAAAATTCTATATGGGGCTTGCATGCAGGACATTCCCTGCATGGACTTACGCTCGCCACTCCCTTGCCAGTTGCAGTACTCTGAAACTTTCCCATTAACACGATCTTGGGATTTACATGCATCCTCATTGTGTGGTATAGAGCTTGCGCACAACTTACCAGCATTCTAATACCCTCAGGAGTCAGGTCATTCCCTCTGAGATCAACTGATATGAGGTCTGGCAGGCTACCAGCAGTTATGACATCAGCAAGTGCCTACAAATGTGCACCACAGAGGACATTATTGGGGCACTCCCCAGAACCAAACATACACAAAAACAAATCCGCAGAGCCCATCAGCGCACCACCCACTGTCACCAAATAGGGGCAAGGGCTCTGCTCCATCACATGCGACCAACGAATCCCCAAGAGCTCAAAATCAGCACACCATACAAGCAGTGACCTGGATTTGCTGCCACTGACCTGATCGACAAGGTGATCAGGCAGCCCATAACGCTCTTAGTGCTGCAGTGTTGCAGATTATGACATCGCTGGAAACATGCATCTGGCATTCCGCAGTGGACATGTCAGGAATGAGGCTTGCAGAGAATGTAGCCAAGCATTCAACAACCTATAAGCGAGCAAGTGCACGCAACGCACATACAGCAGTATGTGTCATGCACACAGAATGCAACCAGCAACCTGGGAACTCCCTACCTGTGCGCCTCCATCTGTGATGCCATTGCTGCTCAAATTAATCATCGTTACGCTTGAGTTGGACTTCAAGGCTCCTGCCAGCTGCCAGAACAAGCAAAAGCGGGTGTGGTTGATCCATTCCAGAACTACAGCATGGCGACTGCTCGAAATGTGTGGTGGAGCAGTGCCAGAACAGCCAATCGAAGATTGTCTCATAGCAAGATGTTGCATCACATAATGAGCATCCTCCACCTGGGAATGAAATTTTGCTGGACTCTGTGATGGACTACAGCAGATTATGCAAAAAATCTATGAGGACAACAGGTACCACAAGCAGCATTGAAGGGGATGGGCCACAGGGAAATGCCTCTCCCAGGGTCAAATATCAGCAACAGAGCGGTCACAATGACCATCAACAAGTGAAACTTTACCTGAACGACGTCTGCATCACGAAGCTCGCAACCTTCTAGGTCGATCCACATTTCGTTGGGCAGGTTCTGAATGACCTTTGACATCTTGGCTGCCCCTGGCCCTGGGTCCAGCACAGTTACACGCACAGATCAGTGCCAGACCACGCTCACAAGGGCCGCTGCATTTGGGCACTGTTGGTCTTTGGAAAGAAGCAACGGCGGAGGGTGACGTGCTGCTGCCTTGCGCTCTGATCCACCGCTTAATCGGACAACACAGAAAAAGAAAAGTAAACAAGACTAAAAACACGTGCAAGGGCGGCAAGTCCCACATAACAGGTCCAATGCAATTGATCATGGACTTCTATCGCCCTGCACGGCCCTTCTGCCAGGACAGCTGCGTAACCGTCCTCCGATCAAAACTGAACGCCAGCGCAAGGCCCGCGCCCAACAACACAAAACCCTCCCCAATTCGCACGCAGAGACCTCGATCCCGCTCCGCAATCCAAGCGCCCCACTTTTTGCCTTCCGCTTCTTTTTCTTCCTCTTCGACCCGCCCGCCTTTCCGCCCTCTTCCACGCAGGCGTCGGCCCCATCCTCGGCGCTCACCTCCGACCCTGCGCCAAAATCAGCACAGCACATCATTCCCGCCCCACCACAAGACGGGGCAGCCGCTCATGCAGCGCATCCCGCCTGGCTCAGACCGCAACACCCCAAACACCGATTTCCCGTTCCCCTTGCACTCCCCCACGAGCCACCTGTGAGCACACCTCTCCCAAGCACGACGCACGCCCCCCCCCACCCCACCCCACCCACCCCCCACCCCCCGCGTGTGCTTGCGCTGTGTGCTCATCATTTGGTGCCGGCGACTCAAACAACATCTTTCCACAGCCTGATAAAGAGTCTCGCACACGCTCGCTCAGGAGGGGGCGCCCTTCGCACGACCTGTTCCTCCTTTGACTCCCCATGCAACAAACCTTGCCCCCACCCCACCCGCCACCCAGGCGTGCGTGTGTTGTATGCCCCTCTTCTCGCATCGGAGGCTCTTTATCATCTTTTCACGGCGTGGAAAAGACCCTCGCATACATTTGCTTAGGAGGGGGTGCCCTTTGCATGACCCGTTTCTTCCTCTCTGTGTAACAAATCCTACCCCGCCACCCAGCGCCCAATCCCACCCGCCCACCCCATGATCTGCCATCACAACTTTGGCCCTCTGCACCCAATCTTCCCTCAAATCAAATTTGACCACCCAGCGCCGCCGGGCCCCCCACAGGCACCTTCCCACCTGCGTCGCTGTCGCTCTCGTTTTCATTCCTGGGCGATTCTCCCGCGGGGCTGTTTTCCTCCCCGTCCTCTGGCGCCGCCGCGGCATCCGGATCTTTTGGATCCGCAATCTGCTGGCCTGCCTGGGCGTCCTCCTTCATGGCACCAGCCGGCGTCGGCGCGCATCTGCGGGGGCGCGCGGGTGCCTGCGGGCGAGCGGTGGGTGGGCCGCTGGCGGAGAGTTGGGAATGCGCGATTGCGGAGTTCGGTTGGCGGCAGCTGAGTATGCGGAATGATGGGCTCCTCGTTGGGCCTCTATTGAGGCATTCTCCTCCCATTTCCTCCATTTCCCTCATTTTCCTTCATTTTCCTCCATCTGCCTCCACTCTCGTCCATCACCACTAGTTAAAATAAACCACTAATGGAGAGCACAGCTTCACCTCGTTCAATTACCGGGAATTGTCCACTAAAGTGCCTCAGTCAATGGTGGCAAAATGGTGGCATCTGAGAATCTCATTTTCTTTTTTTTTTTGCTTTGAATGCCATCAACAATATCATTCAATTGAGTGGCTGTCACTTTTCTCGATGCTTCACTGGCAACTTTCCAGCTTACACAGCTGGAGGTCGGTGGCTAAACATCGTTGTGCTGTGAAAATGAGGAAAGTGAAAACGGAATTGGAAGTAGGAATAAAGCTGAAAGTTTGAAACACCAAAACAGCTGCAGCTACCATTTTGTGCAAGAAGTCGGTCATGTGCTGGCTGATGTATGCTGTCGTCGACCTGATCGGGATGGTGTGAGGTCAGCTGCCAACGATCAGCTTCGTTATTGCTAATTTTAATGTCGCGAGTTGGTGCTGGGGTTGGTGCTGGGGTCGATGATGCGGGCCAGTGCTGTGCGTTAGCGAACGTGTTGGGCATGAGAGAAGTGTGAGTTAAGTTCGCCGCTTTGAGTGTGAATTCTGGTGGGCGAAAAAAGAGGCAGTACTCTGGTATTTAGAGAGCCCGAGTCTTGTTCGCGGCTTCTCCCGGTTTTGTTGTAAGACAAGTTGAGTCGAGTCTTGGCTGCTTGTCGGGCCAAGCACGGCCAGTGCGTTTGTGCACCGCGTGCACCAAAGTTACCGCGGAGGTCGAACCAAAGCGTTTGACCCGTGCAACCCCGTGGCCCGTCGCTGCGCACATTCGATTGCGACGGCGGGATCTCCAACCGGGATGGCAAAGAAATTTTGACAGTAATGCCTTAGGTTCTCATGGAAAAAATCATGGAAGATGCTTTGCCTGGGCGAAATAAGGAGCTTATGGCTGCCTCCTCGCCACGATATGTGAGGTTTCACGTGATTTTTTTTTCGTTTTTGAATGAGGCCTCGTAATGGTCCACCCTTTCCCAGGCCTGCTTGTTTGTTCGTTCCTTACGCGGATGCATCGACATGGTCTCAAGGACTCGATCAATGCACCGCCCGAATCCAGCGCCCAACCTTCCTCGGGGAGGGCACCATTTGTGGTGATTCAACACAACACTGACTGGCTTCGGCCAACATCTAAATCTGTCAGGAGTTTGTGTCGGAATCTGTGACGGAAATGGGGAAGAATGTGTGCCAATAACGGGCGGCGCCGCCGCTGGTTAGTTGCCCCCATTGCATCCCCTCCTGCCCCGGTGCCTCGTGGCTCTTTCTCTTGTGGGACTGCACGGCATTTGCAATACTGCTTACTTGTTGGCCTGGCTACGAGTAGCACGCCCACGTGCTGCACGCAGGAGGCGCTGCGCCTCAGTAGGACATCTAAACTGTCCCAGGATCAAGGTGGACATCCCTGGCGCTGTGTGAGCTGGCCGACGACCCCAATTCCTGCGTGTGCAGCTGTGCAGGGCTGGGTTCTGAGTGCTGTCAGGCACGGCCAAGGGCTTGCAAGTCGCTGAACGTGCGCTCGACTGGCTGGACCGGCTGGACCAGCCGCTAGCTGAATCACTGACGCAAACTGGGTCGAATTTGTGCAGTATCATACTGACTTGCGGCAAACATATGTTGGTTTCGCGCCTTCTATTGACAAAGTGAAGGGAACGCTGGGCCTGCAGTTTCTTGAAAAAAAATGGTTGGAGAGGACAGAGAACAGCACCGGCCAGAATCGTGTCCATCGAGGCGTGAACGGGTCGCTGTTGGCGGCCCAGCTGTGCCCGTATGGGTCGGGGGGATGCGGACCCACTGCCGGCTTCAGCCCACACTGGACGGACTGTCGCACAAGCTGCCGTGGAGAACGAACCAAAGGCATCATCACACAGCATGGAAGAAGCTCCTACAGATCAAAATTCTCAAAAGCACCAAGCTTTCAATTCCAACGTTCACACACCTGCAAACCCGCCACTCGATACACCACGCACAAGTGTTCCGATGGACCAAGAAAGAAAATGGAAAAAAACCCGGGCCCAAAGTATAAAAACACACCGCCCCTGCACTTTACATAGATGTCTATCGAGTCCAATTCCGTCGGTGCCCGCCGAGTCGCCTCCCTTCACTATGTGGCGGTCCTAACACACATCCAGAAGCACAGTACACACACCCCACACACTTTACAGTACCCGCTGATGCCTACAGACCGACAAAAAAATTCAATATCAACTTTTTTCTTCCAGGCAAGCCCCAACACAACGCCTCCTGAAACCACTCCACCCCGCGCTCCTCGCCCCAACAAATTCGACAGAGTCGGTTGTGTCTCACAATTCTGGCCGTCACCTCTCCTTGCACAAGTCACCCCTCCTGCCGGACGCAAGCTCCGAGTGCATAGCTGCTGATGTGGCGATAGATATAGATACAGCGATGACCAAAACAAAATAGTAGAATTATTCCACCGTCCTTCCTCCAGACAAGCACCCAACCCGTCGTACCCCCGCGCCCACGGCCAGAGGCCCGTTCGCCGCCCATCCAACTAATGCGCCACTCCGTCAGGCTGAGGTCGGGTTAAAATACAGCCGGAATGGGCAGAAGACGAGCCTATGTCAACAGACCGCAGGCAGAGGCACCACTCCATTCCAAATCCTCCCAGCGATCGCTCGCACTTGGTGGTGTGCAGAATATGGGCCACCAGGCCTCGCAGGGGCGCCTGGAGACCACAGGAGGTGGGCCCCACACACTGAAAGGCACTAACACGTACCCGTGATACACATACGGAAAAGGAAAGCTGGTGCTGATCGGCCGCTGCCCCGCCCTCCGGCGGCTACCCAGATCGCCTCTCTTCATAACGCCCTCGCCCAAACTCACCCCCACCCCACGTGTGGAGTGTGGAGTCCGCTGCCCAATGAACCGTACACACTCAGGCAGCTCCAGGGGCTCCTCATTCCGCCCCCTCGAGAGGGTCGTAGCCCTTTGCCCTTTCCTCTGCAACGAGTTTTTTCAGCTCAACGTCGCCCTCCGCATCCAGGGCATCAAGGGCCCTCTCGGCAGCAAGGCTTGTGTCCATGAAGCCTGCCTTCCACTCTCTGACAAGGTGCCTGACCCCGTCCGCCTTCATTGTGTCCGACCTGGCATCTTTCGAGGGTGCCAACTTCCTCAGCAGCACCGCCGCAGCCTCGCGGCAGGGCTCATCAGGGCTGCTCAGCAGCTGCACGCACGAGGGCACGGCTCCAGACTGCACGATCACATCCACCAGCAGCCCTTCGGCCATGTTCGCCAGGGCCAGGCATGAGTTCCGGTTGCACAAGTCGTGCTCCGCCGTCAGCAGCTGAATGAGCACGGGCACCAGGCCAGCGTCTGCCACCGCCATCCTGTTGCCAGGATGGTTTGCCACGAGATTTGCAAAGGCCAGTGCGGCCTTGGCCTTGCCCTTGTCGTCCTCCGCATTCAGCAGTGCCATCAGGGGGGGAATGGCGCCCTGCTTTGTGACCTCTGTCTGATTTTCGGTGTTGTTGCAGCACAGGTTTGCCAGTGCCCAAGCGGCCTGTTCCTTGCAGCCCTCGTTGCCAGTGGTGATCAAATTGATCAGCGGCTCTATGGCACCCTCCCTCAGTATTAGGGGCTTGTTCTTGTCCTGGCACGCCATTATTGCAAGCGCGGACGTGGCAGTCTTCTGGTACACTTCCTTCCCGTTGCGGATCATCTCCACCAAGGGGCGCACACCGCCCTCGTGCACAATCGTGTCCACAACGTTCGGATTGTAGCCCATACTGCGGGTGCGCATCAAGGGGCGCGGAGAGGCTTCTGAAGCACCTGGGCCATCCTTGCGGCTTGACTCAATTGGCGTAGGCAGCACCTTCACCACCGGAGGTCCGCCAGCATCCTCCACAACTGCAACAATGTTGCCATCGTTGTACGAAAGATTTGCTAGAGCCAGTGCTGCACCACGCTTGCAGTAGTCATTGCCTGCTGTCAGAAGCTGCAGCAGTGGGGGAATGGCGCCCTCGCCCACGATAGCCGACTGGTTTCGCTCATCGTAAGCTAGATTGGCCAGAGCAGATATGGCATTCTGCTTGCAGACGTCGTTTGATTTCGTCAGCAGCTGCACCAAGGCTGGGATGGCACCCTCTTTTGCGATGGCCATGGTGTGCGTTGCCCCATATGCCAGGTTGGCAAGTGCCAGGCCAGCATTCTTCTTGCACCACAAGTTCCCCGTCGCCAGCAGCTGCACCAGCGGCCTGATGGCCCCCTCTTGCACGATGGTGAACATGTTGTCGTTGTTGAATGCCAGGTTCGCCAGGGCCAGCGCCGCGTTCTGCTTGCACACCATGTTGCCCGTGTTCAGCAGCTGGATCAGGGACTTGATTCCGCTCTCCTGTGCAATCACCACCTTGTTGGCGTCGTTGTATGCCAGGTTCGCCAGCGCCAGCGCCGCGTTGCTCCTGCACTCCAAGCTGGTGACCTGCAGCAGCTGCACCAAGGCGCGGATGCCACCCGCTTCGGCGATGGTGACCTTTATGTCGTCATTGTAGGCCAGGTTGGCAAGGGCCAGCGCTGCATTCTTCCTGCTGTCCCTGTTCCCATTGTTGACCAATTTCACTAAGGCAGGGATGCCCCCCGCCTCAGAGATCGCCAGTTTCATGTCTGCCTTGTAAGCCAGGTTGGCCAGCGCGAGAGCTGCGTATCTCTCGCATTCTTGGTTGCCACAATCCAAGAGCTTGATGAGGGCCGGCAGCCCACCCTCAGCCACAAGGGCAACCTTGATGTCGTCGTTGAACGCGAGGTGGGCCAGCGCTGCGACTGCAGCCTCCTTGCACGCCTCCGAGCCGCTCTCCAGCAGTTCGACAATCGCCTTCACGCCACCATCCTTGATGAGGGCCTTCCTGTTGTCGTCATTGTTGGCCAGAGAGCCCAGTATGTGAACCACATTCTTCCTGCATTCATCGCTCTCTGTCCCGAGCATGCTCACCAATGGAGGAATGCTGGTGTTACCAGGGCCCGCCGCCTCCACGATGTTGATCTCGTTGCAGGAAGCCAGGCGGGCCAGGGTGGACGTCGCCCCCTTCTTGCTCGTCTCGTCGCCCACTGACAGCATGCTGACCAGCTGAGGCACACCGCCAGCCTGCACTATGGCCATCTTGTTCTCCTTGTTGCAGGCAATGTTGGCGAGCGCCTTGGTGGCGTGCTCCACCAGTGCCTCCTTTCCAGAGCTCACAGCGGTCACCAGCGGGTTGATCCCCCCCGCCTGTGCCATCGCCAGCTTGTTCTGGCTGTTGGTGGACAGGTGCGCCAGCGTCTCAGTGGCGTACTCCCTGCATGCCTCGTTCTCACTCTTCAGCAGCGTCACCAAGGGGGCCATGCCCCCAGCGTGTGCGATGGCCACCTTGTTGTCATTGTGCCGAGCCAGCAGTGACAGCGCGTGGACAGCATGCTCCACGCACGCCTTGTTGCCGACTGTCAGGAGCTTGACAAGTGCGGACGTGCCTCCCTCCTGGGTTATGATCACCTTGTTGTCCTCGCTTGCAGCCAAATTGGCCATCGCCAAAGCAGCCTGCTCCTCCACAGCCTTGCGTCCACACTTGAGCAGCTCTACCAACGGCGGGATGCCGACCTTCGCGGCAATGAGCTGCTGGTTCTCCGGGTTGTCACATGCCAGGTGTGCCAAGGCAAGTGCTGCATTCTTCTTGCTCGCCTCGTTGCCTTCGCTGAGCAGGGGGATGAGGTGGTCGATGCCGCTCAGGCTGGCGATGGTTGCCTGATTGGCTGGCACCCCACTGGCCAGGTTGCCAACGGCCAGTGCAGCATTCCGCTTGCAGTTGACACTGGAATTGGGCAGCAGCTTGATGAGGGCTTCAATGCCTCCGTGGCCCACGATCACGGCCTTGCTGCTTGCGTTGCGTGCCAAGTTGGCCAGGGCGCGGGCAGCCTCCTCAGTGCTGGCATCCTCCACGTCCAAAAGCTTCATGAGCTCGACCACCCCGCCCTCCCGTGTGATCCTTTCATTGATCTCGTCGTTGTATGCCAAGTTCGCCAGTGCCTGCGCTGCATACTTCGCCGCAGACTTGTTCTTGCTCGCCAGCAGTGCAATCAAGAGGTGAATGCACCCGTCACCAGCCATGGACACACGGTTGTCATTGTTGAAAGCCAGGTTGGCCACGGCGAGCGTAACTTCCTCCAAAAACGTGTCGTTGTCCGAGTTGAGCAGATTCACGAGGACCTTGGTGCCACCCTCCTGGGCGATCACCTCGCGTCCCACCTTGCTTGTTGCCAGGTTAGCAAGGGCAAAGGCACCATTCTTCTTCGCAGTGTCCCCTCCATCCCGGACCAACTCGATCAGCTTCTTCAAGCCGCCCTTTTCTATAATGACAGTCTTTTCTTTGTCGTTCCCAGCCATTCGAGCAATCGCCAGTGCAGCATGCTCCTGACACATTTCATTGCCGTTGGCCAGGAGATCGATCAAAGATGGGATCCCACCATCGTGGGATATGATCACACCCTGGCCATCGCTGCTGGCAATCATGCTCAGCGTCCTGGCAACATGTGCCTTGGCCCCCTTGCTGCCAGTTATCAGCAGCTGAACCATCGGGGCAACACCCCCCTCCTCAACTACCACCTTCCTGCACTCCTCATTCTTTGAAAAATTCGCAAGTGCATGCACCACCTGCTCTATGCAGGCCCTGTTGCCAGTCTTCAGAAGCTCAACCAACGGCTTCAGGGCTCCGTCTTTTACCATCACCGCTGCCACCTCATCGTCCATGGACAGATTGGCCAAGGCATAAGATGCCTGCTCCTTGCACACTGCACTGCTTGAGTCCAGCAACTCAATGAACAGTGGTATGGCCCCCTCCATCATAATTGCGTTTCGGCTCTCCTCGTGCCTGCCAAGGTTAGCCAATGTTCGAACGATCTGCTCCTTGTACACTTCCTTGGCGCTCTTGACGAGCTCCATAAGCTCTTTCACAGCAGGGCGCATGCCCGCCAGAATGTTCTCATCGCTGCTGCGCGCCAGGTTCGCCAGGGCAAAGGCTGCCTGCTCCCTGCACACATTGTGGGCAGAATTCAGGAGCTGGATGATGAGGGGCACCCCACCCTCTTGTGCAATCACAGGGTGGTTCTCAGGGTTGGACGCCAGCCTTGCCAGAGCCCTTGTCGCGTACCCCTTGCAGGCGTCGTTCCCATTCTTGAGCATCTCGATCAGAGGCCTCACGCCCCCCTCTTTGGCAATCGCTGCCTTGCTGTCCATGTTCCGAGCAAGGTTGGCCATCGCCAGGGCAGCGTGCGCCTTGCAGGTGGCGTTGCCGTTGGTCAGCAGCTCCACCAGTGTGGGTATGCCACCCTCCTTGGATATCACAAGGTTGTTGTCATCGTTGTACGCAAGATAAGCCAGAGCCCTGGCAGCGTGGCCCCTGCACGCCTCGTCGTTGGTGCTCAACAGCTCCACCAAAGGCGGTATGCCGCCCTCCCTTGCGATCACAATCTTGCTCCTTTCCATCCCTGCCAGATTCGCCAGCACCAGCGCCGCGTTCCTCTTGCACGCCTTGTCGTCAGCCGCAAGCAGACGAATGAGCTTCGGCATGCCACCGCCCTGCATGATGGCCACCTTGTTTGCAGGGTTGTAGGAGAGGTACGCCAGCGCCAGTGCTGCGTTCGCTTTGCAAGTCTTGCTGCTGGCGAGCAAGTCCAGAAGCGGTGGAATCCCACCCTCCTCGACAATTGCCAGCTGGTTGTTCCTGTTGTGAGCCAGCTGCGCCAATGCCCTTGCCGCCTGCTGCTTGCAAGCATCGTTCCCATTGATGAGTAGCTGGACCAGCCCTCCGATGCCCCCCTCCTGTGCTATCGCCGCAGTGTTGTCGTTGTTGTAGGCTAGGTTGGCAACCGCCCTGGCTGCATGTTCCCTGCACCCATCGTCTGCTGCGCCCAGCAGCTCCACCAGCGACGGCACCCCCCCCTCCTTCGAGATCACCACCTTGGCCCGATCGTTGCCCGCCAGGTTGGCCAACACCAGCGCCGCGTGCCGCTTGCAGACCTTGTTGTCCGAAGCCAGGAGCCTGATGAGGCGACCGATACCACCTCCATTCACGATGGCTTCCTGGTTGGTGGTGTTGTAGGACAGGTATGCCAGGGCCGACGTCGCATTGCTCTTGCACACCTTGTTGCTGCTGACCAACAGCTGCAGTAGCGGGTTGATTCCCCCATCGTTCGCTATTGCCACTTGATTGTTCCTGTTGTGTGCCAAGTGGGACAGCACCCTGGATGCCTCCTGCTTCTGCATCTCATCGCCGTTCTTGATCATCTCTATCAGAGCCGCGATGCCACCCTCCTGTGCGATCGTCACCTTGTTGGTCGGCGCCAGGTTGCCCAGCGCCTCCACGGCTTCCAACTTCTGCGACGGCGACCCCGACCTCATCCTTTGTATCAGGCCCTTCACGTCCTGTGGCATTGGAGACGACCCGCCGAAGCTCCGCCGCCTCTCGAGGGCCGGGAGCACTGAGCCAGTGCTCCTTGTCCGGCCCAGGCCATTGCCTCCATGCCTGGTCCAGGGGGCCCCTTGCTGGACATTGTACTGGCCATTGCCGTCACTGTGGTCTGTACGTCTGGGCCTGCCAAAGGAGACGCTCCTTGACAGGTTGCCGACACTCGTTGTGCGGTCGATGTTGTGCCTCGGGGGGCCCCCAAACTGCCCAACAGTGTTCCTGCGCTGCACAAAAGCAGCATGGGGCTGGAAGTCCCCAGACCTGCTTCTCTCACGTTCACCCTGCATTTTGGTTCGCTTCTCTTTGCGCCCTGCATAAAAGCACAAGCGCATCTTGGCGGCAGCTCCCATGGTGTTGCGAAGCAAAAATGGGCACCAGGTGTTCTTTCTACTGCTAAATGCCTTGTTTATATTCGCATTTGAATGGCAAAGGAGAGGGATGGAAAGGTGTGGGATGTGGGGGGTGGGGATATACTGCAACAAAAGACCTGTGTCCCGTGCTTCCAATGCAACATAACACGCACACATGTCACATTACCCACAGTCACGCCCCTGTCCGCACGCAGCATCGCCGCTGGGAACCAACGACACTCGGTGCATCGGCCCTCCCAACCCATTGTCAACCAAACAATTCCACACACCGGGGGAAGCTCACAGGTCTCCCCGCTCACAGCACCACACAACCTGCCAACCCGCCGTCAACGCCCAAAGGAGCCGGGCTCAGGCACCCATGGCCGACGGTTCCGCCCCTGCCTGACCCTCTGTGGCCGACCCTGGACAGCGGCGACGATCAGCGCAACGAGGATCGAAGGCGCAACGCCGCTCCACGGGGTGGGCATGCCTGCTGCTTGGCCGAACACCCGGCCATGGCCAAACGGGCACGTGCACCACAGCGCGGCGAGCGCTATGTTTCGAAAGCGAGCGAAAGGCGCCGATGAGCGTTTTTCCGGGGAGCTGCAGCAGGGGCTGCCACACCAGCCCACGCTGGCCAGGGCGCACACATGGCGCGATAAAGCGAGTCGGCAAGCAAGCAAGTGTCCGAAAAAATCAGACGGAAATAACGGGCCCTATTGGGGAGTTGCCTGGGGCTGGTGGCGCCCGTCCCCCGGCGGCCATTGCCCATGTTTTGAACAGCAGTGTGACCGTGGCAATTTGGGCCGCCGGCCGCCGGGAGGCCACGACCGGCGGCCAGATCGCGCCACTGGCTGCCGACGCCGCGGTCAACAGCGCAGGTCGACGATCGCGGCAATAAACACGGAAAACGGACAACGGAGGGCGGAAAACGGAAAACGGGCAGCAGATTCAAAGACCCCGGCCAAGCAGCATCCGCACATGGCTTCGAGATCGCGGGGTATCCGCCACTCTACCGCGCCTCCACCTGTCCCCGCCCCCCCCGGCCCCAAGCGGGTCCCCGTGGGAGTCCGCCAGATAGCCTGTGTGCAATGCTGCAGTGGACAGCCACACTGCTACGGCGGCGACTCAAAATTCCGAGCTTTCAAGCGCCTGGCCCACATCGCGGCGTGCGCAGCATCACGCCCTTGCCCGGGGTTGGGGCGTCCCCCCCGCGGTCTCAAAGGGTCCCACCCGCAATCGCGTGCCAGGCAACGGCGTCAACACCGGCTACTTCTATTGCATATGCTCATGGCACCGCCGGCACCACAAGCAAGCCCCCCACGAAGGCTCTCAATGCGCCCGCCTCTCCAGAAGGGGCCAAAAAATTTCTCAACGCCTTCCGGGTACCGCCCCACGCCTCCCTGCATCGCGGCGGACCAAAGGCCCACAAGCCCCAGCTACCGCCAGTCCAGACACGAGTGGCGGAAAACACGCTCCGCCAGCTTAACCTGGGGAGGCAAGCTGCCGGCTTGCCGCGGTCAAGGGCGCGCAAATTACCGGCGGGAAGGCACCCGCAAAGACCCTTTCCATGGCACGTCGCGAGCGCGCGCCGACGCATCAGGCACAGGGCGGCGGATCCCATTCGGCCGGCCAGATCGCCAATGCCATTGCGGCGCCCGCGGGGCGGGAGCCAAGCACCATCGACCAGCTCCCCCCAGCCACGGCCACTCGACGCGCACCAACTAGCCAGCCGGCTGTTCTCCGGGCGCCACGCTCACCTTTTTTTCCCGCCAACAATCTCGACTGGACTCACAGCCCTCAGCACGATTTCCCAGAGCGTGCCGGCCTGGGCATTCCAAGGCCGCGAGCACGCGCCGCCCCGTCGATCTCAGCACAGCCCGTTCGCGTGGCGCCGCAGATAGTTCTTCGAAAGGCGCCCTGCGTGCCGAAGAGGCCGTCCCTCCGCGACTGCAAATATATGCCTGCGGCGTGGACCAGGCGGCGTTTATAGCTGGGGGTGTTGATGCCATCTCCGGAGGCCCCCGTCGCATGATTGGCGGGAGCACAGGGGGACGGCTCACGTGCGCCGCTGGAGCCCAGTCACGGATACACTGTGCCCGGCCGGACGACAATGTACTGGGGTTTGGGGTGGCCAATGTACTTGGCAAGGGAGGGAGGGGTGACGACAGAAACCACAGGCTCTTCCACTGTCCCCGCTTTGCTTATTTGCGGCAGCAGCGGACCAGTGAGATCCGTCACTTGACATGTGGACATGGTGATTGGAATTGGGCTTTTCTTTCCGCATCGGGGCGACCTTTGCTGGCCAAGTTTCTCAGGGCTGTTAGACGGGCATGTACCGAACATTGAGAGAGGATCCGATACATCTTGTTGGGGTTATGATTGACGCTGGAAGTGAGACAGGGCAAAATGCATGGGATATATTGGGACATCTTGGAACACTCGGGGATATTCGGGATATTACCTCACGAACTCACTCTCGCCTTCATGACATTTTCTCTCTGTGATGCTTAGGGCTCCCCCGCTGAGAAATTATGAGTTCATTGGACACTAATGTTTCTCTCTGATAATACTGTTTGGGACCCTACATCAGTTCTTGCTGGAAAAGGGCCCGCCATGCTTTCCAATTTGTGGGGGAGTCCCTTTGTTCGAACTATCGTGTAATTCATTGGAAAAAAAAGGGAGGGGTGTTGCCTTGCCGTGACGACATCAGTCGCCATGACGGCCTTCCCAATGCGGGCAAGTCGCGGCTTGCTGCTAGTCCTTCAGCTCATGGGAATTTCATCGACACGTTATCAGAATTTGTGCGTCGAAGTTGGCGGCGAGCCAGGTGCGTGCGATTGGTTGTTTCGTGCCGTGTCAATAGGCTGACGCCAAAAGCAGCGCATGCAGTACAGCTCCATCATTGGAAACGTCTTCTCTGGGTGCCATGCTTGTGAACCTTTAAAACTGGGGACACACTCCAGTGAGTCGCAGGCCAGTGTGTGTAGCGTGACCCCTTACATTGTGGATCCCCACAAGGTTCAATGATTTGCAAGGAAAAGAAAAGGAAGACACGTCATGAAGCGGGCTACCCCTTCCAATAAGGAATGTCGCCTAAAGAAACCACAGTTAAACATCTCTCACAGCTTGCAATGCAACGACTTCGGGACCATTTGTCAGGCCAACACGAAGAGAAACCGGCCTGGGAATGCCGCTCGCCCAACCAATCGGCACCCATGCGAAAGCACGAAATTGAGGGAGCAGGAGAACGACGAGCAGGGTTCGACGCAAAAGGGGCGGATTGTTGATGTCCAGCTCCTGCCCGTATATTGCATACGAGCCCTGTCCGGGAGCATCAGTCCACCATGCGCTTGATGCGATGTAGAGCTCAACGAAATGTTGCAATAAAAGGGCAAGACAGTCGAGCACTGCGGGCAACAGTGCACACCCCGACCGCCAGAATCGATTCTGACATTCAACAACGGTCATTGCCCCTATTGAGCGCTGCCCGACGCCACAGCAGCACCAAACTGCAGAGGGCTTCCCGACAAGCGGCACCTTCAATGGCGAGTGCGCTGCAGCCCAGCTGTGGGTCGAGAGACCCCCAGGAGTAAAAGGGGGAAATGGCACGGCATTTCACTTGTAAGAAATAGACCAAAATACACCGTTTTGGAAAATCGTGTTAATCATGTATTTATCGTATACAAATGGGACCAACCCGTGTAGTCACGATTAAGTGAGTGTACATGATGTTTACACGTTTTGACACGGTTTCACACGATTTTCACACGGTTCGAAACTGTGTATTTCGGCCGATCTTTACTTGTGTTTGATCGTGTACAAATGTGCACAATCTCTCTAGAGATATGGGAGAGGCGGACATGCCGCGCCTCATTCTGCTCGAGTCCTTAAGCCCACAGAGGACCCAATCTGCAGCTCTGCAAGGCCCAGAATGGCGGCTCCCAATTTCATTGGATTTGGCTCAAGGTGCTGTCATGCAACCCAACTTCTCCCGGACTGCGATGCCGGTGGGGCGGACGAAGACACAGCTGCAGGTCCAGGTATGCGCAGTGTAATTGCTCAGTAGCCGCGAGGTGAGACACCCGTGATAGGACATGCATGGCAAAACAGAAGTGGCGCGGGGAAAGGCTCGAATCATGGGGACATTTTCAGATTGCCAATGATTTAAAACGGGGCGCAGCATGTTGGACCTTATCGCCGCCGCCCCCCCTCCCCCACATGAGAAAAGAAATATCTCTACAGCTCTCCTGACTTCCTTGGAGGGGCCAAAGCGCCGTGTGTGTGGACCGCGCTTTTGCGCTTGCCTCAGTTTCGGGGCAATAGTCCAGCAGCTGTTGCCGGGTTCAATTGTGATATGCGAGCTCTTTGATGTGGCACTTGCCTGTGTGGTCGGTCGGCAATTTGGTGATCGTTCACGAAATTCCGGTTGTCAAGGACGGGATTTTCCGCTCGACCAAGTTGACCTGTTATCTCTCGTGTAATGAAACATGTCGCAGGTCTTGGAGACGGCTTGTGTTCATGCAGGGTTCCACTGGGCTCGAGTGGGCGGGACTGGATGTTCCCGCGGTCTCCTTTGCCGGGCCCCTCGACTTATCGTTGGGCGATGATGACAGGTGATGATAGCGATGATAGGCGATGGTGGCGATGATGGCGCTGCTCCCCTCCTTGAGTGAGGGAAGCGGTCTCCAGTGGCATTCCTTGCTGTTGGCCACACCTGTCCACCAAGCAACACCATACATTGCGATTCTTTGCGACTCTTCTGCACCGTACGTATTGCCACGGTGCATTCTTGTGCAGCATCCTTTGGGCTGACTTCACCCTGGTGATGGCCGAGGGCGTGGACCAATGTAGGATGCGCTCATGGTCTGCTCCAGAACGCTCCTCCTCTCTGTAGCCCGTGCGCCAGGAGCCGCCTGTGCAGCAACGCCAAGCGAATGTGCATGTGACACACTCCGTGCTTCCGACGTCGTTTTGAACACCGGGGAATACGATCTGCAGGAAGGAGAAATTCTAACAACATTTGGCACGTCTGCCGCCAACCATCACGCCATCTCGCGGCCCAGCGATCTCCAAAGTTCCCCTTGGTGTCCGAAGGGCTGAGCTTCTGGATGCAGGACCTCCAGAAGCACCTCAAGAGACTCTGATATCGACGGCCCGGGTTGGCAAAGAACTCTCGACCCTGCAAATAGGACGCCAACATTCAACCACGGAAGAGTGGCGCAAATTGTCCACGAAATCAATTTGCTAAGGGAAGACACTATTTTGAATTTGGAACACTTGGCGTCAAATTAACGTTAAGCAGGGGAGGGATCCAGCCATTGACGCTACGGGATTACCTAATTGCACTAAAATCAAAGTAAGGTGGGAAGATGCGCAAAAAGCGCCGCTGATCAGCAGATAGCTCATGATTTGTTGCCGCAACGCCCTCAAAACTTCCCATTTTCGAGGAAGTCCCCAGAATGGATCAATTTTTAGGCTTTGTTGTTGCTCCCATGACCTATTATGGCTTTTGGCATCGCATTTTTTACATCACGGCAATCGCCGCAATTTGGGCCATTTTGTCCTTTAAAACTGGTTAAAACTTGTGTGGCATTGTTGTGTAATGTTGCTGAGTCACCCTGGAATGGAAATAAGGATTGACGCTAGGGAGGGAGGGGAGGGGTAAGATTTGCTACAAAAGAGAAATAGAAACAGGTCATACAGAGGGCACCGCCTCCTAGGCAAGCGTATATGAGGGAGGGGAGGGGGGTCTGAGCTTAACGTCACATTGACGCCGAGCGTACCAAATTCAAAATAGTGTCTTTCCTAAGTTGATAATGCGACCCATTGCAGCACACAGTGCGTGCCAGACATGCTATGTGATATTTAGCACGACTTACAGAGGTGTCAAATGTATGCGAAATGGGCTTTCTCCTTCAGCTATAATGTGCTCGACATGCCGCTATGTTGTGTGTCCCTATTCACAAGTCTTACAGCAGAAACGTGTTCCAATTGCCAACAAAGGCTGGGCACACGCGCCCACACTTGCGAACTATGCAACATTTCAAATTCCGCATCAGCATCACAGCTCCCCATGTGGGCACTTGCATGACTGCCAAAGCGACCACACGGGTGCAACACATCCACATACTCGCCTTGGCGGTCCACCTCATTTGGCATTGCTGTTCTCCACACCATCCCGTACTTTCTTGGGTTCAAACGAATGTCAACAATTTGCCGCTCACGACGGACTTGTCAACGAGGACTCCAGATTATGGGACTAAAGCTGTGTTGATGTGATTCCGGCACCGTAGGTGTGACTAGCGCCCGGCAATGGTCGAGTATTTTTTGGTTTAGTGCTTCCACCATTTCTTCTGGACGTTGGCCACTGGTCAGCCTTGGATCCACGGGTCCAGAAGCTGTGTTTGAGTTGGGCCAAGCGAGTTGCGCACTGGAGGCGCACATTCAATGAGAGCCACAGCTTGTTCGAATGGATAAGCCTGGCGGGCCGCTTATGGCTGGCAAGACCGCCCTCTATTTGAGGACGTCCACCACCGCCCTTCATCTTTTTTTGCCCCCCGTTCGCCCAGCATTAATCAAGCCAGCCCATACTTGGATCAAGTGAAGCATAACGCACAGAGTTTCTGTGCTTCAGCTTGTGTCACAAGCGTTTGACAAAATGAGGCACAATCATGGCTTTTGGTTCACAAGGGCTAGTGAAGGGCACAATGGTTTGAGTTAGCTAGCTTAAAGCTAGTAGCTTTCCCTTCGCCTCACTTGGGCAGGGAATGCATCACACCAAGTAGCAACGAAGTCCTGGTGACAATAGCCCCAATTCGCAATACAATTCAAGGTGCATTGCAAGGTGCATTACGATGACAAGATGCAAGCTGGATTGCAATAGCTGGCTTGCTATTGACCGACATTATAGGCATTGTCTTGTGATGAGACAGCTTGCAGTATCTCGACCTGCCATGACAGTATCCTTGGTCCACTTACCATCCACAACCGCCATTCTGGCTCGCGACGGCCCGCCGTCGCTCAACGTGTCAAGAGTCCTTTTCACCTGGGCGGCTGCTTCGTTGAGCTTCAGGCCTTGCAGGGCAAAGATCACAACATCCGAGGAGGCTGTCACACAACAGGGACACCATGCACAGAAGCTAGATTCAATGCTGGACTTATGTAAAGGTCACCATGGACCTATCCACCTTCACCGACACAAGTGTGCCTGGTTGCGGTTGGCCGACGTCGCTGAAAGCCACCAAGGCCATTGCGCCAGCAATGCTGAGACAAATGACAATTCACAGGTGATCGAGGTGCTTGCACTGCATTTTCGTGTCCAAAACCAGGAACAGCATTCCTTTGTGGAACTGCCGCCCATTGCACATTCACATTGGAGCAAGAGTGCTCAAATCTCAGTGGGCTACACCACCGGTTCTGCGTACGAAAGGAAGCCCATCGCACAAATCAAAGTGCTGCACGCACTGAGCAGCAAGCTCCATGCAATATTCAACAACAGACAGTGTGTGCAAAAAAACGCAGCAGCACAAAAGCGCCAACGGTGTCGTCCAGCAACAAGCAGAAACACGGTCGGCCGATGGCCATTGGCTTGGACAGAGTCGTGCCATCAATCGGAGTCAAACTTTAGCTCCTCGGGCCCTCATGGCGCAGACCAACAGGCAAAGACAAGCGCATACTGTGCCTGCCATCGTCAGCACCAGAAAGTCTATGCACAGTGACAACATGGCCAACGTCACCTCAGAGGCACAAGGGCAAAGGTCCGTTGTATTTTGACAACTGAAATGAGAGGGAACGTCAAATTCAAACATGAATAACGCAGATTGGTTCAGTGCAGCAGGGCCATTGGTGGCTGGTTCAAATCGCACCAAAAGCATGACTGGGACTACCCAATTTGGTCCTGTTCCAACACAGACTGCACTAGCAATATGTGGTACTAGGTTGCATGAAATGTTGCACTACAAATCGCACTGCTGACCTGCACTACTAGCTGCACTACTGGACTGTGCTAATCTGTGCGACAGTGGGTGCTCCAATCTGCACTGCAGTGCGCACTCCATTGCACATCGGGCAACATTTGGCAGTTCAGCATTGTTTCAACACTTCTGGAGATCATGTGCAACAGGGATTATCTCAGCAGTGGGTGGGATCCTTACATTTCAACCGCTCCAATGGAGAGCCAGCACACTTTTCAGCTTCTTCAAGAGCATCCTCTGCTCCAAGAAGTCGAATAAGCTCGGACGCCCATGGAGGTGCTGCAAGGAAGGGCGTCTGTTTCCATGTCACTGGTACGATCTTAGCAAACATACATCGTTTGTTCTTGACAGCAGTCAAATGGGTCTTTCACTGGCAACAATGCCATTCTGTGGGCACCCGAGCTAGAGTTGGGGTTACCCAATTGCAACAAGCAGGTGAAGACGGCCACTGTGTCCTCACCATCGTGATGCTTCCTGTCAATGTTCATTGATGCGACCAAACGACTTCTGCCTTGCCACAGATACCATTCCAAAAAACTGAGAATGTCTTTCTGACATTCGCCAGTGAGAAACATGTGCCCAAGAAAGCATTGCATATCTGGCTCATCACTGCATCAAACAGCACAAATAGTGTAAAGTCACATCCATTCCCTCACTTTTTGTCCATCCTAGTCCCACCCACCAACCCCGCCCCTCCAAAAGACACCTCAACAGCCCAAGACATATACAGACACCGTGTGGAGTTATGAGTAGGATGGAGATGCCATGGACTGCAAACAGAAACCATACAGCAGAACAAGAGCGCAGTGGGAAAATTGTTCCCTGTCAGATGGGAACATCAAGATCAACAGATGAGCTTTGCCCAAGTCCAACCATGTGTTTGCTGAGATTGCACGTTCCCATACATTAAGGCAAAGGCAGAACGAGTCAACACTCACCATGCACTGAAAAACTGCAACTTTTGGCACACCCCGGCCCATGGCAGCCACCTTTGTGGTGTACACTTGTCTTTGCAGACCTGCGAGGCAATGACAATGTGTGCTGATCCATAGTCACCGCATCAGTAGCTTGTGCATATCATTGCAGTGCAGACAAAGTCATGTTCCAACCATTATAGAGACGCAGGCTTGGAAACCACAACTGCAGACACACAGAGGGTGGCCCTTGTCGCAGGTGCAAGCAGAATTCACTGGGCGCTTCCTTCCCTGCTGCAAGAATAAAGAATGACCTTTTCAATTATAGGGTCCCATTCGGAGCTTGGCAGGCAGCTGACCAATGTCTGCGATCCCTATCAACGGGCCTAGGTATCTGTGAGCTGCATTTTGATCATAGCTGCCATTTCTGGTAAAATTGTGCCTTTTCAGCCTTAAGGAGAAGAAAGCCCTGTATGCATCCATATTGGTCACTTGTTCCCCAAGAATTCATATCTCTGTATTTCTCCTATGTGCAAGAGTGCAAAACTGTTGTTGTTTGCCATGGCAATGTTGCAAAACTGTGTTGGAAGGCTGTTGCAATGGCCAGCCAGAGATTGGATGCTTGACTCAAATGTTGAATAAGGCACAGACTACATAAAAAAGATGTGGAGCCATCAAGGACGTATATATCTCATCAGCCATGTGGCGTAAGGGATGCTGGCATACCCAACACTGGCACAAACTTGAAGCTTCCTTGCAAATTGGAGCAGATACAAGGGCAACAAGCAAGCGTAGCTTTGCCATGGTGCAGCTCCTGGCAATCTGATTGAGAGAAACAACAATGCCAAGTGACCAGCTCCGCGGTAAATGGGACTTGAGGCAGATAGACTTGATGGTGGGCAAAAGATGTTCATTATCTTTCCGTCTGTCAGTCATGGTTGCCAACTTACAGAGTAACGAATGGTTCAAGCAGAGCTGGCCTTGTGTGAAATAAAGCTAAAGGTGGGCGACGCACTCTGGATGAACTGTGCTCCCTGTTTGTGCACCCCCAGTGCATCAGCGATCTTTTGTATGTCCTTCCATATGCCATCAATGCTTGATGCCCCCAAATGCACCACCCTCGGGACATATCCCAGCAAGCAGTCCAAAGCAACCTGGCAGCTCATCTGCGCAGCTTCAACATCAGAGCCCTTCCCTGCATCAACTCAACAACCACAGCCACTACTCATGCAATTCCCGCAACAGCAGCTTTATCCCACTGACTGTGGAGAAATGAGGTGTGCAATTGGAACAGAGAAGGTTCTGGGTTGTATTGCTCATGACCAATATCCAGGTCTGTCCAAGTAAATCCAAGTATTCTACACAGCAAACGAGCAAGACACACGCTGAAATCCACCAAAATGTTGGATTTTTTCATAAAGGCATGAACGATTCTGGACTTTCGCAATCAAAGACATCAATAGGATGAGAAACAGATGCTGTCTCAGTTCTGCAACTTTGCAGCAACACATGATATGACTCCTGTGCCTCGCAGTGCCACGCTCAAGGATGCAATCATCCATTCAGTCGAAGCTGGCAGTGAATTGAGGTTCCGGCGCTGCAGGGACTGCTGCCCAACATCAAGCGGGCCCAGCTGTGGCAGGCGTCATGCCTGGGTACCTGCCTGCACATGTGTGAGGATAACTGCTGGCTTCAATTCTATCAATGTGTCCACATCCACACAAAAGTCTGACAGCACGAACTCCAGCAACATTCGATGGTGCTGGTGCAGCTGGAGCCACAGCCCACTGGCTGCAGCATTGCAGGCATCCTGAGTGCCACCACAAGAAAAGATCTTAGCTGACTGGTCTTCAATGAATCATTGCCAAACAAGCAGCAAATGTTCTGATCAGTCAATACGTGTTGTGATTGGTGGGGCACACAGTGCATCAATGGAGAACACTGATGGGAGCTTGGCAAGACTGTGGCACAATCAGTGGCACCACGGGGAATCACTGTCAGGCAGTGCCTCTGCCCTGCAGTCTTGTAAAGCTCACAAACCATGATGTTTGACACACAAAAATGTAACTCTGTGAATATTCTGCATGACATGTTTTCACTGTTCATTCTGCACTCTGCTGCCTTCTGTTCCCGTAGCACGTGTGTTTTCTGTTTTAATATTCACAGCAAGGCGATTGTCTCTTGTTTCAAGCCCATGCTCAGCAGCAGGTTGCTCACAGGATGGCATCCTGCCTTGTTGCAATAAAGACAACCTTGAATGATCTGTGCGCATGCCACATTTTCAGTGCCACTGCCACGTGAATGGTTTAGGTGATCGGTTCACACCAATCATGATGTGAACAGCATTCCCCACCACTGTCTGTTGACTGTAGCAGGATGTTTGTATGGAAGAAAGCTGTGGCCAGCACTCCCAGGACAAAAGGCACGGCTGTCACATATATGGGACACAGAAGAACTGCGAATAGGAATGGAGCCCATTTTTGCCTCAAAGGTGTAACAGCAATGCCTAGGTATGTGAACGTGTGTGATCAATGCTGACTTCCAATGGAAGAGAGATGCAGCATGGCAATACTTTACATTGTTACCATTGGATGTGCCACCACAAACAATAAATGTGCAGTTGCATACATAAATGTACACACAATGGACACGTTGAGCATGGGCACACACACAGAATGTGTTCGACAATGCAGCAATCAGATACACCAACAGCAAACATGGCTGACTGAAGAAGGGAGACACGCTTGACTGACAAATTCTCTGCTGTGCACAGTCAACAAGGTTTGAAGGCAGGGCTTCACAGCCCCTGCTCGAGGTCTGGCAGGGTACCCACAAACAGGGTAATTCGACAAGCATTCCGGCACAGCATTGACCAGCACACTTACCAAAACATCCTTGTATTCGGCAGAGTCGAATCCTTCAACCTTAGCCCTCGTGCAGACATTTGCGTGCTGGATTTCTTGGCGGGTACACTGCAGACACGATATTTAGGATGCGTTCGTGGGAGCAGCAGTTCTGTCCCTCCTGAATGGTTGCGCAGCTTTGGGGCCATCCAACAAAGCAGCAAATAACACAGTTCATGCTACCTCTTCGTCTGCAGTGAAGCACTATCTGCCAAAGGCCATTTTTCATTTGCTCAGCAGGCAGATTTGTGATTCGATCTGCTCAGTACAGCTGATTTGCCCACACTTTTGTTCAGGGCCATTGAGATGAACAAAAATCAATGCACCACGTGTCCGTGGCGAGGCAAGCCATGGAAAGACGCCTTGCATGGCTTCGGCCAACGACTGCCTGTACGTGTCAGGCTTCATGCATTCGAACATCTTGAGCGCAATCACAGCAAGGCTTCACGCATTGCAAGCAGCAAAGGCTTCAAGCAGCGCTGTGCGCTCATCCTGGAAACGAATTCCTCCCCACGCGACAAGCCATTGCCGCTGCCCCGGCACAATCACGACGCGAAGGGCAGACATCAATGTACTCCATTGTGGGGATCTCATCCTCACCCCACAAGTATACCCCTAATGCCCCACATGCCCCAAGCACATACTTCGTGCGAGCTGCCGACGATCGCAGTTTGCCTTCCCAGAGCGCACACTGTGGCGGTTGCCGAGGGCAGCAGCGCGACGACGCGGCCGCAGGGCGTGGCAGAGGCCATGCTGTTTTCCCGACACCTTCCGGGTCAACACACTGGTGCAGCGGACGTTGTTCCCCAGTCTTTGGGACACAGGACGCAGGCCTGTTGCCTTTTCGCCCTTTGGGCCGGCATGAAAGCCCCCGTTCGTGATGAGAGGCGGGCGTGGCACGTCGCGCCCGCCAGATACAAATATGGCACTGCCCATCCTGTTAGGGCAGAGGCCGATGACTGGAGTCGCGGGGGGCATGTCATGCGTTCCTTTCTGCCCGTGTGACTGCGGTGATGGGCGTGCGGAGGCGACGACACGGCAGGTGATCGCAAGCCTCACGCCGCCTTGTGGGTCGGTCTCTCAGGGTCGCTTTGTGGTGTGTGTGACCCTCACTCGTAATCCGTGGGATTTGAGTGCTGGAATTCGGTTGTGTCTGCGTTGGTGCTCGCGGCGGGCGCCACTCATGGCGGGGCAAACCGCCGGGGCCGTTGCTGGTGAAGGGGAACACTCATGGTGATTGCGTTTTGCAAGAGTGGCGGCGTCGATCACTCTGCCGTGATGGGCGTGGCGCCGCCGGCACTTAGCAAAACATCGAGTGTTTGCAGCCATGCCACCCCCAAGTCGCGACAGAAGATGGCAAAGCCACCTACTAAAGTGCAGAGGTGGAGCACCGGTCAGGGTGACATGGGCGTTGCCCAGGTGTATCTGACCGGGTTCTGATAGGATGCCCTGACTCACTTTTGCCAGATAACCGTCGTGGTGGAGAGGGCAGGTGAGAGCGCGTACTGAGGGGGAAGGCACTTAAGTCCTGTAGGACGCAATTATCATCACTGTCCGAGCCCAAGTTTTTGTCTTTCATTTGCGCTACCTCTGATGATCACGCCGCCGTTTGGTGGACGATGCTGGGCATGGCTTGTACACCCCCCAAACTTTCACACCAATTGGGGGAAGGCTCGCTGGAAATGATGTCTGCGGTCAGGATGGCTTTGAGTAAGAGGCTCTTACTGTGCTCTTACTAGGAGAACAGGTTGGTGACTCACCACTCTGACCCTCTGGGCGCTGACATCATTTGCGGAACGCTTTTGCAGGGCGCTCGCCGCTGGTGAGCGTCGCCGGTGCTGGCAGCTGTGCTGTCCCGGTGAATCGACCAGGCTCCCCATCTCCGGAGGCTGAACACCGCGCCAGAGCATTTCGGTGTTGTTTTTGCCCTTTGAATATGGCGTTGCACACGCGTATGGTACTGTTTAGGAGCACGAACCGCGTTCATTCATCCCGTGGCCGTCTTCGTCCGCCAGGTGACCCTCCCACACCACGCCGACGCCGGCTGTCCACACCACACGGCCCGACGCCCGCGCGTCCTGCTCCTCCATCAGCAATCAGCACCGTCCCTCCACGCAAATCTCGATAACCACGCCCACCGCACACAGCCACGCGGCAGCTTTTCACTTTCACGACATTTCCTTGGGAAACCCGGCGTTGGCGGTTCTCTCAGCCCGGCTGGCGGCGTCGAATCTACCATCCAGGCCGCGCTGGGACTTGCCTCAGCAAGGTGGCACTCATGAATGTGGCGTCGCGCGGGCCCCCGGGCCCTACAACCCGGCTGCAGCCCACCCCAGCCTCAGGACCTCTCAAAAAGCTCAGGTGAGCCGCGCCCCCAAGGCTCCCGGTTGTGAAAAGGCCTGCTGACGGGAAGCTGTCAGGCGCGAAGGTGCGCACGCTTGGATTGCAAAAAGCGCGTGGGACCGACCCCGTCCAGGGACTGGAGAATTGGGTGCGAGACTGGCCGCGCCGGCCACAGCAGCGAGGCGCGCCTCCGGTGGAAGAAACGGGGCTGCCGGGAAGTCCGTTCGCGCCCTCGAAAGGCGCTTTCGAGGAGGCGCGGGGCTGGAGAGCAAGCGGTGCTTGGCGGGGCTGGCGTGATCTGCTCGGTGAGTGCGCGGCTGGAGAAGCGCTCTGGGGACACATGAACGCCCCTTCGGCGTTAATGGCCAGCGATGGGATGCATGTCCGGCGGCGCCGTGGCATTGGCGTGTGTTGCGGACCACTTCATCGGCAAATCGGCGCCGCGATGCTGTCCGTACTTTTGGATCCTCGGGTGGCCCACTCCGCGGCCATCCGCGCGACCAGGGCCTGGGCACCGGGACGGCCACCCCAGGGGCTGCTGCGGACGGGGTTGCAATTGCCGGAGGCCGGCCAGCCCGTCGGTCCCCAGCCAGGACGTTCCCGCGCGCTCCCGCGCAGGAGCGTCCACAAAGTGGCATTTTTTCCCCCTCGGTTCCCGATCTGCCGCGCTGTCTTGCATTTTAGGCACCGCGAGGCCCCTCGCAAGCAGTTGGGCGAGGCCCCCCACCCCACCCCTGTCTCAACCCGGCCCGAGGAGCGCTCGGCGAAGATTCGCTACGCGCCGACCCCACCGAGACGACGCTTGCGTGGGTACTGTGTGCGTCGCAGACGCGCGAGTGGGCATTTGGGATCGCGTCGTTCTGGGAGCGCCTTTCGCAATGCGGGGGCGTGTGGCCTGGTCCCCGCCCTCCCGACACCTCGTTGCTGCGTGCTGGCTCGCCACGTCGCTTGCCTAGTCGTGGCGCTTTCAAACGTCGCAATCCAAGAAGGGCGACCTCTCAGGAGTATCCGCGGCGCCCAGTAGTACTTAGAGGGGTTTAAGGGCCCCCCCTTGCACCTTCGGTGATTCGAATCAGATGTTGTCACGTGCTGTCAGGGGTTACGCAGCGACCCTGGTGGGAGCCTCATCCGCCGCCGCGTAAAGCTTTGAGAACATGTGTCAATGCGCGACAAGGCGCTCAATGTCTGTTCAAAATCGCGACAGGCGTCCTCTCAGGGGTGGGGGTGGTGTTCAGTTGGAGACGAAGTATCGTCTGTGGTTGGCTCAATGGCAA